ACACTTACGAAAGTGATTTCCCAGTACATGGGAACCATCTTTCTGAACTCAGTAGAGGCTAAATTAGTGTAGCTAACAGAGAATCACAGAATCATTTGTGTTGGAAAAGGCCCTTAAGATGCAAAGCTTGCCAAGCCCACCACTAAACCATGTCCCTAAGCATCACATCTACACATCTTTTAAATACCTTTATGCATGGTGACTCAACCACTCCCGTGGGTAGCCTGTTCCAACCCTTTTGGTAAGGAAATGTTTCCTAATATCCAATTTAAACCCTCCCCTGGCACATCTCGAGGCTGTTTCCTCTTGTCCTATTGCTTGTTACCAGGGAAAAGAGACCAGCACCCAGCCCACTACAACCTCCTTTCAGGTAGTTGTAGAGAGTGATAAGGTTTCCCCTGAACATCCTTTTCTCCCGGCTAAACACCCCCAGTTCCCTTGTTGTGACCCAAGTGCAAGACCTGTCACTAAGCCCTGTTGAACCTCGTACAGTTGGCCGTGGCCGATCAATCCTGCCTATCCAGATCCCTCTGTAGAGCCTTCCTACCCTCAAGCAGATCAACACTCCTGCCCAACATGACGTTGTCTGTAAATTTACTGAGGGTGCACTCGATCCCCCCATCCAGATCATGAATAAAAATATCAAAGATATTCTGAGGTTCATGGTTAATGGGCTGTACTTTTTCTAGTGCCGTGGAGTACCACAGGGGTCTGTCCTGAGGTCTCGCCCGTTAAACATCTTTATCAGTGACCTGGAGGAGGTGACAGAATGAACTCTCACCAAGTTTGCAGGTTACTGCAAATTGAGAGGACCAGGAAATTTGTTTGCAGGCAGGGCTGCCACCTGCTAAGGCTGAAGGAATCAGCCAAAAGGAACTGTATGAAATTCAACAGGGCCCAATGCAAAGTCATGCCCCTGGGAAAGTAGAACACCTTGCAAGGATATAGGCTGAGGATCGACTAACTGGAGATCAGATCTGGGACAAAGAATCTGAGGATCTGACAGGTTGCACAGTTTCCATCCTTGGAGATTTTCTAACACCCAGCTGGACAAAACCCTGAGCAACCTGCTCTGACCTCAGAACTGATGTTGCTTTGAGCAGGAGGTTGGACTAGAGACCTCCTGAAGTCTCTTCCCACGTGAGTTCTCCTGTGATGTCATGGAAGACTTTATTATAGAGAAGTCCCATTGGAATCAGTACACAGATGCTTTGTTTGCTGGGGCCCAGAGATCCAATCCAGGCAAAATCCCCATGAATGTTAGAGGTATGTCATCCTGTACACCCTTTAGGATCAAACCTGTAGGTTTTGAGGTTCTTTTCACATGTTTCGGGCATACCAAGAGGTTGGCACAGTGTTGTCATCTGACATGATGTACTGGGCCTGGCTAGGATAGAGTTAATTTTCTTCTTAGCAGCTTATACACTGCTGTATTTTAGATTCCTAACCAAAACAAAACCAGTGCTGATAACACATTAATATTCTAGCTTTTGCTGAACAATGTTTGCACAGCATCAGGACTTTTTCTGTTCCTCAGGTCCCGCCTCT